TAAATAATTTCGTCGGTAACCAAAGTGTCGCACGTACTTGTACGCCGATCGGGCGCACGGGCACGCCGCGCAACAACGCGGCGCGTGAAACTCGCGGTAACTCAACGCCGCCCCGTCCCGGACAGTCGGTATCGCAATCTCCCCGTCGACCGAGAACCCGCCGCGGCTTGCGGCGCGCGAATTGAAATTACGCGATCTGAACGTTTCCCGTCGACTGAAAACCGAAACGAAACAAAACCGCTCGGGGGGGTTAACGGGGGTTAACCCTTCTCCGCTAACGGGTATCCGCCCGTCGTAATGCCGTTCGGTCTCTGTGTCTCGGCATCGTTCGAGCACGCACACGCGGAACACCACCGCGCTGCCGTCGTCTTTTCGCGGGCCGCCGAGAGTAAACGGTTCCTTAACGTGCGTTTCGCAACGGTTCGCCGAACGGTTAAGCTTCGCGACGCCGTTTTCGCCCGCCCCGTCACTTTCGCTCTTAACAAATATTGTTATTGCGGCAGGTATACGCCCCCCCCCCTTCCCGCCGTGCACGCGCGTCCCGGTCGAACGGACGGGCGGGTACCGTGCGTTGCTCGGGACGCAATGCGGTTGTCGTCGCGTGTGACGGTTTTCGGCGGCTCTCCGGGACGGCACTTTTATTGAAGCACCGGGGGCAGCGTCGCGCCGAATAGCCGAAAACCGTCGGTCAGGTGGGCGCGCGGCGCCGGAGACGCGCAACAATACGAGCTCCCGTCGCGCATTATTAATGCGCGTACAATAATTACGGTACGGGAACGTCGAATGTACGCGCGTGGCGGTCCGCCGGGAATTTCAATATCCGTACGCCGTCCGAGTGTCGCGTCCGCCACCGTTGCGCAGCGTACGCGCTGTCGTTGCAACACATTGGTGTTGGCCGTGTTGGCGCGCTATTTTTCGCGACTGCCGTAGTGCTGCTGTCGGCGATGACAATACGGGGCGCCGTCGAGCACCGTCCGGGCGCTCACGGGGCGCCTCCGTCCGTTGCGGCGCGGACGGCGTCGCCGCGCTGGCCGCGGACAAACAGGAATCGCACCGTCTCGTGCGTGTGCGTACGGAATCGTTTGCCCGCGGCGGCGCGCGCCACTGGGATATTTATTATGCGGACTCGCCGGAAACTCGGGAAACCGTCACGTCGTACGCGACTTGTCGCCTGTCGAAATTGTATCGAAAACCGCCGTGTCCGTCGCGGCCGCGCCCCTACGCCCGTCCCCGAAACGTTTTACTGTGCACGCCTGCGCCGTCATTTTCGCCGTTTGTGCGTGTCTCGCCTTATTTAGACGGGCGACGGGTCCGACGGGCACGTCTCACGTAAATTATCATTAGGGGCAGATACGTACCCGCGTGTGTTTTGATGTTTTTGTCGGTCGGTTAAAAGCCCCGACCAGTCGATTCGTACCGAAACGGGTTCCACGGCCTGCCTACACCCCGGTTCTATGTTACCGAAGCTTTTTTTTTTTTTTTTTTGGCATTTTTCGATTTACAGGATGGATTTAGAGATTTTTGGAAATGTTTAGAGCATATATTTATAAGGATTCCATACCTTTTCCCGAACTCAACTAATCGAATAGTTCATAGATAATTATTCAACGGTTATAAATACCAATAGTTTTAGAGTTTTCAATTTTTTCTTCATATTTCGATATCTTTAGTGTTTGTTATTCGTTTAAAGGTTTTGAATGGCGTATAGTTACGTACCGTTTTTCTATTGTACAGTAATACTAATAATATACGTCCCTATAGCAGTGATGATTATGTAGTCTCTATCTCTTTTAAACGTTTACACCAACGTATTTTATGCCCCGCATACGTATCGGGTGTACGATTACCGTACTTTACGACCAGAAAATCTATATCGGTACGCGAAGTCGTCAGTAAAAGCCGAACCCGCGGGGGAGAAGGAGTGCGCAGACGTGGATTCGTGTGGGCGAAAACGACCGGACGTGTCCCGTGGCACCTTGTGATAATAATATAATATAATATCGTGATACACGTGCGAGGGAAACATACGTGTAAAGGCGTCGTCACGCGCATTGTAATATCATTATTATTCAGTCGGGTTTCTTTATAAAAATGTCGACTTCCGTAAATACGACAACGCGCGCACATGCAGAATGCTAACTAAAAACGTATTTTTTTTTTTTAATTTTTTTCATAGTGCGTATACGCGATAGTGATGATGACGTATTTTTACCTACGAAAAAGTAAAATGCAGTTACCGAATTCCGTCCCGTGAACGTTATTTTAAACTATACAAATTTTGTCATTTAACTTCGATTTTCGTCCGGATGGCGAAACCGCCGCCTCCGAATTCCGACCCGAAGATATTCAACAATCATCGAACCTACATTTTTCTCCAGCCTTGGGATTTCATTTTTTTTGCTCGTTGTCAAATTTGTCCAATTTGACCGAGAAAAATAATTTTTTTAATCATAAAACGCTTCCATCATCGGTAAATATTTTCAACACTGTCATTTCATTTTAAAATGGCTATCATGGATTTTGTAAAAACTATTTTTAATGTTTAGATTTAAATATGAAACATATTATAAATAGAGGGATCGTAGCGTAAGGCACTATAGTAATTATTACAAAAAAAAAAAAAAATAAACATATTTATAGAACAAAAATCATTTCAGGAGACGGATCTTCGTGTTACGTCATGTTTAGTTTTCGATCAGGATGGGTACAGACGGCACAGTTATTCGAAAATTGTAAAGACTGATAAGAATGAATAAAAACGGCCCGAGAGCATAATTTCTACGCCTATATTTAAATTTGTAATATTTCAGTACCACATACTGGGTGTCCCACGAAGATATACCCATTGCAATATCTCCGGAGATAATGTTTGTTATCTAATTAATCTAATCAATCAAATTCTGTTTTTTCCTTGTATTTTTTTTATTTTTCAAAAAATGTAAGATAACTATTTATAGAATTTATTTTTCTAAATTTTTAATACATCGAATTTTTATTTTATTTAGTTCGTGATTTTTAATAATTTTTTAATAACTATCTTCAAATTTTTCAAAAATACAAAATAAAAAGTTATTTGTTTAGGGTTTTTTATTAAAACATGAAAAATGAATTGCAATATAAATATTTGTAGTACTTATCCCTGTGAATAATAAAAAAAAAAAAAAAAAAAAAAAACAGAATTTGATTATCTTTATTATTTCCAGTGATATTATTATATTTTCGTTGGATACCCTGCATCATATGTAATATAATGACATTTATAATAGGCAATACTTCTTATCGATAATCAATCCTACTGGGCACTGCTTAGTGCACAAAATGAAGTATATACGAGATAGAAAATAAAATCTTTAGATCTCGGCGGCCTTTGATCGGCTCACATCCATCCGTATACATTATTTATACACGTTTACGCGAGTAACATACACGTGGGCTTCAAACATCTCCCAGTCCGATAATAATTAATCATCGGAGCCGTTCAATCCTCGACAAATTACCGACATTACCCTGTTTGTATTACGCGTAATCACACTGTCTGGAAATAATCCAAAACCAAGTCAATATCAGAATGTTATCTCTGCGTCTACTTCCGGCACGATGAGTCAATCCCCACATCTAACTTCACTCGCATCCAAAATATCTCTGTACGACGAAATAAACTGACTGTTAAAACGACAAAATGTTAACTCCCAGCAAACCAGTGGCGTATTTACGGGGGGGGATCAAAGGGATCAATCCCCCTACAGACTGTTTATAATATGCACATAATTATAGTCAAATTATCTAAAATATGTATTATTAGTTATTTTTTTAATGATTATTGATTACATTAATTGCAAAAATTAAAATATTGTATCTATATTCGAGTTGGTATCTCTAGTCAGTGACCTGTGGTTAAATAGAGAAATGGGTGATTACGGGTTTTCCTGGAGTGATAAGAATGGTTTAACGGCGGTAAAAATCAGGAAAATTAGATTTTGTATTGTAATAGCTAGGGCACGGATTTAAATGCTCTTAAAATCCGTAAAAAAGCGTTAAAATCGTCAAAAAAGCCGTTAAACATATTCAAAAAAAAAAAAAACAAAAGTTTTAAAGTCCCCACTCTGACAATTCTTACCCCATAAAATATTAAATTTTTCTAACCCTGAAAATTGATTAACACAAAAATTTTTATTTTTTACAACACGTACAAATTTATTTAAAACATATTAGTTTAAAATAGACATTTTTTTTTTAATGTTAAACATTTATTTCTAATAAGTTAGAAATCATATATAAAAACTTTTTAAATTCCTCTACCTTTATTGATCTTTTAAATATTTTTTAAGTGACGTTTTAGAGCTTTTTTAAACATTTTTTTTTTTGTGAATTAAATAACGTTATTATATTTTACGGAAACGTTGGGGACGAGGAAGGGAGGCTCCACCCCTCAAGTTTTTTAAAAACTATTGGATAAAATCACATTCCCCCCCCACCCCTAAGAAAAATACCTAAATACGTCACTGCTACAAACAATTTAATCGTCTATATCACACAATAACCATTACCCAATGTCCCCGACGCTCGACTCACAACTCTGTGTATAGCTTTACCTCGCTAACCTTGTACGGTATACGCATTACGCGCGGAGTAGTTTACTTTTTCCCTCTTCTCGGTTTTTAAAGGCCATTGAGACCCGTTTGTGCAACGCAAACCTGGTTCCACCTGTCCTCGATCCTGTGCTACCGTCTCTCCGTACCATATTCCAATCCGTGCCAAATTATTTTTCACTTTATCAGTCCACCTTTGTTTTGGCCCGCCAGCGGTAATGCTTTACGCAACACAAACACGCAACGGCGCGCGTGACCCGGGCGGAGGCGCCGTGTGCGCATAACCAGGGTTTTCCGGATTTCACGTTATACCGTCTCGAAAGTACGAATGTCATATTACCGGGGTACTCTGCGCGCTCCTGCGCACACTCTCGCGGAACAGTAACGTATATTATTATTATAATTTAGAAGGCCCTGCTGTATATTGTATTACTATTGCGTATACGACGACACGCACGGTCTCCCGGCCGGAAAGTTTCGCGCGTAGACGGTTTAATTTCGTTTCGATACACGAACGCGTACACCGGTATCGTGCACGGTGCCTGATAATAATAATTAAGTAATATACACGGAATTATTCTCGTCGCCGTTCGTCGGCTGCGCCGACCGCGCAATATTAAAACCGCGCGGACGGGGGGGGGGCGGGCAGGGTCTGGGGGAGGGGTGGCGGGGTTAGGGGAAGGACGTCCGCGGCGCGCAATATTATCGTCTCCCCGTGCACGCGCCCGCGAGAATCCCTCTCCCGCGGATAATTCAATTTGTCCTCTATACCCGTCACTCGAGTGCGCGTATGTACTGCCGGTACATACCGCCGCCCGCCGCGGACTGTACGTTGCGTGTATATCTGTATACATCGCGTATTGTAATACACGCGAGATATGAATGCGCGTGTAATACATATGATATTATTGTCGTATACGGCCAGGTTAGACCTATCGACGTTCGCCTAGAAAAACGGTATCGCTGTCAATAGCGGTGGTTCTGAATTACCGCCGGTAAACGCCACGCGTCCGTATCGGCGGCGAAACCCGTTAGAGGGGAAGCAGTGGCATTTCCTAGAACTTTTAATGACGCCCGTGGCAAAATATTATACTCGGGTGGGTCCTAAAGACCGAACCAATAGGTAAAAAAAAAAAAACAAAAAAACTCCCGTTCAAAAAGACCCTCCTCTGGAAACTTTAACAATCACTACAGGAGAGAAAATAAAACTAGAGGTTTTCGAAACATGGGGTTATTGAAAAATTCCTAAGACTGAATGGATAGAAAAAATGGCAAACTAAGATGTACGGAATAAAGTTTAAAGGAAAATTGTGAATTTTCCACATACCATAACAGTCGGAAAGGACAAAATCCCGGTTTATGTGGTCAAAATATATTTTTTTAAACACACTTCAAAATATTTTGAAGTGTGTTAAATTTTAAAAATTTGTTTGAATAAAGGTCAAAAGGGTACCTTTTGTTTAGGGGAATATAGTGGAGTTTCGTGAAGAGACGGTATTCCATTGTTAGAAAGAAAATATAATCCCGATAGCAGGTTTTTATTTTAATATGTTATCTTGGGTAATTTATTTGTATAAACTAAGCGCATTCAACGATATTATCATAAGTTAGTAGAATTAATACATTTGAGTATTATGGTTCAGATTTTCAAACACACAAGTATCATATCTATTTTAAACAATTAGGGTTAAACCAGGATCTACTTTTGGTTTTAAAATGCCATCCTTTATTAAAAATTCCATAAATTGATTGAGTATTAATTAAAATACATTTTAGTGTCGACATTTTTTATTTCCGTCGATCCGTTGATATTCCACTTTTAAGTTTGTGTTGGAGGAGAGTAGTAGAGTATCATTAGTGTGGCGGTACGGCGCACGGCGTGTTAATAATGCACCACTATTCTCCTCCGACCTAGAATTAAAAGTGGTATACCTCGTTAACGGCTTGACAGAAATAAAAAAAATGTCAACAATGAAATTTATGTTAACTAATACTCAATTTATTTATGGACTTTTTAATATAGGTTGCCGTCTGAAAATCAAAAGTAGCTAGTTGTTTTAACCCGAATAATAAAACAAATATAAAATTGTGGAGCAGCTTGTTTCTTAAATGTTCTAGAAAACGAATTCCGGGAAAAGTTAATACTTTCCGAGATAATGTGTGTACCCACTTAAATGAACCACCTGGTACATATAGAAATAAATACAATAATAATAAAAAAAAAAAAAAAAAAAACAATCGCTAGGTTCAATAAAATATTATATTTTGATACATAGATATTTCAATATTTATATACATCATCGTTTGCGTTATCGTCTCCTTTAGAACTTTTTATTAAACCATTATAATTATAACCATTGAAAATAACGAAATTAAATTATAATTTTTCACGCGGCATTATATTTAATTACCAGTTAAAATCAAATGAAATAAAATAAAAAGCGCAAACAAATTATTTCCAAATACGCTAAAACTGTTCGAGAAAACGAATGTGTTCATTAAGGGAACGATTTTAAGTTTTCCACCTTCGGGTGGCTGAATCCGTATAACTTCTCAACTGCAGTTTCATACGCATATTATACAGTTAATACTATTTTAACGAAGTAGATAGCGCGTGTAATTGCAGAAGCATGTTTTTCTTTTCTTATTTTTTCGTTTACTTTTAATAACTGCAGTTAAACAACGTTATTATAACGAATTATAATATAATATTACGCGAATTAAAATATAAATAACCATAAAAGAAAACGTCTAAAAATTAAAAGATCTTTTTTTAAAGAAAAAGCTATTAATTTTACAAAGACGTGTTTTTCCTCCGGATCAAGTACACTTTTTCCAAGGCTCCGCGTCCTTCGCGACGAACTTTAAAAGTTGAGGATTTTTCGCGCCCGGTGGTTAGGTTGATTTTGTTCGAAGCGTTTTGTACATCTATACAACAAATCCTTAACAGATTTTCGAATTGATTCAAATGACGATAAATTATGTTTTTTTTTTCTCTTTGTTAATTTCTGGATTACGTTAACTGCGAGGGAAAAATCGCGACTTGTATCATAACCTTACCTGCAAATTATATCGAGCTCTACCCAGAATCGTTTGACGATTGCAATGATGTATCGTTACTTCCGGTAGGTATATAAACTAAATTGCTTTACAATGCAAAGTTTATATCCTATACATACCATTCAAGCTCTCCACCTACAACATTGGCCGCGAAGTATGTCCCACGCTTTTGTTTTCTATCTAAATCTTTTTATTTTGAATTTATCAAAGGAATTTCATTTTCAAACTTATTTCGATTAAAGGCCGCGATAATTCAATTTTGTTGAATGTAAATATCATACGCAATATCTCTTCAAATAAATACCGTTTAAAAACTGTTCGATTCACAACTGTATTAATTTAAAGCGCATCTCGTCGAAATAATCTGAAATTTAGAAAATATCGCAAATCAATAAAACGTGTTTATGATTTCTTTCTACGGAGGAATCCCGTATGTATTATACCGTACAGTGTCTATACGCAGTGGTGCAACCAGGGTTTGAAGATTGTGACCCTTCCGAAATGTACCGAAGATTTTTTTACGAATTTTCCTTATAGTATTTACTTAAATAATGTAAGCGGTAGTTGCACAGTTCATATCGAAACGCTACCGACATTTGTTCGCAATATTGTTTACTCGTGTGCTTACAACGTACAATTATTTACATTGCCCCAGACATCTGTTCACGACATTTTTATTTTTTTTTTTCCGAAATTACTATTTCCCCCCAAAATAAAAAATTTTAATCACGCTATTACGTGTATATGAATACATATTTTTCGGCGGTAAATTCATTATTTTTTTCCCCATCGTACATTCGGTAGTTTTCGGGGTCGCTAAATAATATTAATTATTACGAATTCGCTACCCGCGGCCGACAATGTGCGTACAAAATATCGTAAATCACGATAACGGCGGTACTCACCTACATGCAATACAATAATAACAACAACAACAACAACAACAACAACCGTCGAGTGTTTAAAATCCGTTTTACAATATAATTATTATTTGCGTCGAGAGCGATCGCGGGTTAAAAGCCACAAAAGTACCTCTCTCTCTCTCTCTCTCTCTCTCATATATAATCGTGCGCAGTTGTGCGTTTTAAACGCGGCTTATCGGGCCGCACGCGCCACCCCTTAAAACTACAGCGTATTGTAATACGGCATGGCGTGTGCAGAGTATATAAGAACGGGCCGAGAGGAAATTCGAAAAAGTTAGACACGACAAGAATTCGAATAACCGCAAGTTTTTTAGACGTATATATTATTTATTTACGGACAATTTGTCCAATTTCAAATACAAACATAACAGTGATGACTGATAATAATTATGAATAGAACGAAAATTTTAACGTTAATGAGCTTAATCAATGGATAACCATACATACGAACAACCAGACTAATATTTACAGTAATCATATCTAATACATAAATAATATATCATAATACATAGACGGTAAACAATGAATAATACAAGTTAATACAAATGATGGGAATATAATTTACTTAAATTAGATTATGATCATCGAGATTGTTGCCACGAGACATTAAAATATTGATTGGGTGATTTAACATGTAGTTTTGGGAAGGCGGATGAATATAAAATAAATGGTTATTTCGAGTATTATGTGTAGATACTTTGTAGTTTATCACACTTAATATAAACGAATCACGAATTGCATTATTTAAAAATTCAAAGAGAAAAGAGTTGTAAGTATTATATATATATGATATTCACCTATGTGTCTTTGGTCCTGGGATTAAGTCAATATTGTATATAGTTGTCAATACAAGCAAATTAAATGTTGAGAAATGCTAAATGGTACGATAACATAATTGCTAAATAATTACTACATAATAATTATGACCAAAGTCCGAAATTATATTTTCTTAAAATCAGTTAAAAAGCGCTTAAAAACGTAAAAGAACGGTTAAAATATTTTCAAAAAGCAAAAATGATAGAAATGTTCGAAAATCCCCACTTTAAGAGCATTAACTTATTGAACTAAATCGTCTTCAAGGCGATTGATACAAAGTAATTTTTTTATAATGTACACAAGTTTTCTCTTTACCTTTTTAACTTCTCATATACAGTGACCCACCCACCATGCGAAGTATGGTCTGTTATTTTTAAAACAACTTTATACCTATTATTATATGACTATAACATAAAGTATAAAATTATTGTACAAACCATTTTTTTTTTTTTAAATAATACTAAATTTTGTGTACAAAATAATTTTCAACAATTTTACTTTTATAAGTAAAATATAGTATAAATTTGTATTAGTGACAAATTTGTTTGAATAGAAACTTACTTATATCAAAAACATAGCATTTTCAGTATATTGTAACATTGTAAATAACAACTCTAAAATGAAAATAATAAACTAGAATTATCAATAATCCACTATCTGAAATCGGATTCAGAACCTAAAGTAAAATCTTCTTCGTGACACGTTAATAAAAACGGTTCGAAGAACATTTTTTGGTTTGAAAAAAAAAAAAATAATTTTCCAATACTCGTCAGTCCTTATTAATGATATTTATATTTTAGATTCCGAGCGTAGCGTATCTTATTTATTAATAAATAAGATGTTTTTTTCTTTGTTCTAGATTTTGGACACGTTTTTTCTTAGTAAACTTGATCCAATTTTTATGTGTAGCAACTTTTCTGAAAGCTCGTTGTCTATATGTTAATTTCAATGTCATTTTTTGATATTCGACGCTATTTTTTAAATAAAAGCATACGTAAAAACGTAGGAAAACGTACAATTTCACGATTTCATTATTTTATAAAAATACGAACGATGTTTTCTACCAGAAAAAATGATTTAATCGAAAAATCGCAAGGTACATTTTTGTTGCCTTTTTGATTTAATTTCTTAAGGTGTCATCGTCAAAACTATTAAGCTACTTTTGAGCTTTTAAGGAAATTTAATTTTTGGGAGTTTTTTAAATACACGTAGAGACTTGAAGCTTGGTAATAATACTTATATTGGACTTACCTAGACGTGGTAAAATTTCCAAAATCAACGGACGACTTTTTATTTTTAATAAGCGTTTTGAAATCAAATTTAAACGAAAATTGCAAAAAAAAATTACGGCACGTCAAATAATATACTATCGAACTGCGCTCGGAATCGTCTTCGACCAGCAATAGTTTATTGTAGCTTATTGATATAAATGAAGTAATCTTATGTATTCTACCTTTCCAACTTTCCACCTACAACAGCGTCTGCACCTGTCCTCAATATCAGCTATTTTTTACAGTGGTTTACTACCATTAACCACCGTAAAATAATATTAACTTTACTATTATTGTTTGTTGTTATGTAACAATAACTGTTATCAATAGAAAATAAATCAGTGGCTATTTCCGTAGCGCATACATTCATGTATTTGAGTTTACTACATACAGGGTGTTGACGGAAATTAAAAATGTCAACACCAAAATATATTTTGACAAAAACGTCATCTATTTATGCGATTTTTAATGTTGGGTGTTACTCAAAAATCAAAAATAGTGATTTGAATAACAATTCTGGTTTCAACTCCGAAAATAAAAATAAAACAAAACAACGGTAATGTACATTTAAGAACTATTTGTTTTATGTTTTTCAAAAAAAAAAAAAAAATCCAAAAAAGTAAATATTTTCTTACTAAAGATAATGAGTGTACTAGATACTAAGGATTGATTACACTGTAAATAATAATAATAAAATAAATGTTTTCTTTTCAACTGCTTTACATAGTTCGTCTATGATAAATAAGCAGTTGGCAAATGCACATTTGAGATTTTGTAGTACACAAAGTGTGCCGTAGTGCACACGGAAATATCCACTAGAGATTATAGACAAATATTACATATTTAATTTAAAGACGGCGATGCTAAACTTATGAATCGGTAACGTATGCAATAGCACAATGCGTAAATAGTTTGGTAAGTACGGCTGTTTATAAATCAATACTTTGGTATGAGAACTAACCACTTAAAGCGGTAATGGTCGCTAACCACTATACGTCGGTGCGAAAGATAAAATATTTTCGCGGGGCAGTTAAGAGTTATAATCATTAATCACTATGCAAAAAACAAACGAATTAAGCGGTCACTACTATACTTACCTAAAAGGCACATTCTTTCACAGGTATTTCATATCAATAAACACCAGTCATAATATACACGACAAAAAAAAAAAAGGACTGCGGCCGGATTCAGCTCGACTGCGTGTCGGCACTGGAGTGTAACCCCTAATATCATGCGGCACGTGTAACATACGAAAAACTTACTTCTAGGCGAGACAGTTTTTCAAAAATCAGTCATCTCGTCACGTTCCTCTACTCAAAATTTGATCACTGCAGCGTAAACGGCTCGTTATTATTCTCATCGTGATGGGCGACTGCAACGAGGGGATTAGTTTTGGCCGGAAGCAATAGCACCGTGATCTCGGCGAACAATCTTTTCCGTACCGAGAGGGCAAAGAAAATGTTTTGTCATCGTCGTTATAATATAATAATACGACGATTGTTGGTCCATATGACGGAAATTAAATATTTATATGGGTATATAAAAGAAGACGAGCATACGCGACGTATATACTCGTGTGTATAATGCACGTAATCAGTGTAGTGGTGTGGCAAGGATTATGGAGTTTGGGGAGGCCGAAGAATGCATCCGAAAACGATATAGCGTTTATATGCGTACTATAGCGTATAGCTATATTAAAATTGAATTATTAGTTTTTATGCTCTACTAGGTGGGCCGAAATTTCGTTGAGAACTTTTCGGGCATCTCTAGAGAAGACCAAAGACTGGAAGGAGATAACAGTGAGTATAGAGAAGACTGGCAAATACTTTATTTGCCGGGACGGCTTCAATCGCCATGCAAAATAAAATAAAAAATAAAATGACGTCCTAGGATAATGGAGTCGGGTGCAGCCACTGTTATAAGTAATTTAATGTACATCTGTAATCAACGATAAGCCATTGCTAACGAAACACGATTCTGAGCGGAATTCAGTTGATAATGCTGCTTTGTCAACAATATATATGTCATATTATGGTAAAATTCCAATTATTCCAATTTCAAAATTACAACGGATCCCGTTTTTCCCGTTTTTTTTTTTCGTTTTTCACATTCGTTAAGAAAACTCCTGAGAAAATCGAAAAACGACCACTTTAAAGTACCTAGTGAAATTTTCTTTTAGGAAAATTGCTATCATTATAATTTGGAGGAAAATTTCTGGTAGAAATGTTATAAAAAAAAATCGCTATATTTTACTAATATAATTCGTACATTTTCCCATTTTTCTCTGTTTTTTTTTCGGTTTTTCAAATTTGATGAGAAAACTCTTGAAAAAAATCTCACGCCGATTTCCTTTCAGAAAAGGCGTTACACATGAAAATCGGAGCAAGATCTTTGGTAGAAAAGTTGTCCACAAAAAAAAAAAAAAATAAACATCTTTTGTAAAACCATAAGCTGTTTTGCTCCACTCGGAAACTAAAATAAAACACTGGTTTTAATATTCGTCTTGTGCAGTAGTTTATATGTATATAACACGAGTAGAATTCAGAACGGATTTTGTAAATATAACTTGATTACGATTTATGGTGCGGTACCTAAATTAGTACTTACTATTTTTACGGATATCAAGTTCAGGCACTAAACGCGACGATTGCCCTAGGGCGTCATTCACAGTTAGCACGGCGCCTATCAGGTGCCCGTCCCCGAATCGTTCCAAAAGTAGAAAAATGCTAGCGAACCAAGAAGTAAACCAAAAGAAGAATAAAGGTCTGCAGTTCGGCTGACAGACAGACGTAGGCCCCCTTCTAAATTTGTTTTCACTTTCGACCTCGCGGTAAATATATTTTATACTACAGCTGGTTTATAGATGCACGTTCAGAAACCTCGTGATAATGTAAACACGATAATATTATATAAAAAAAAGTCATTCCTATAGTAACGGCATGAAAAAAAAAAAAAAAAAAAACTCTCCCTCGTAAATACGCCCGTCTCTAATGGGCCGTAAGCACATTCATGTCGAGGGTCTGTGCAGCCGGGGTCTCTTGCTCGCCTTGTATATTGTAGAAAAAACATTTTAAATATTTATTCTGAAAAAAGTCATATTTCATACGGGGAAAAAAACGATATACGTGTAATAAAACGATAATCTGTTGATGAAAAAAAAAAATAAATATATGTATGGTATATCGTATATATACATATACACACGACTTATGGGTATATCACGAACAAAGGCATTATTAAAACACAATAATAATATTTTTAATGCCGTAAAAGTCCGTGTATAGTTGCGGTAAAAAAATGAAAGTATCCAGCCATTACACTTACAGCTAATTTATGATCGGTTTTCGGCAACAATCGTTATTGGCGTATACGTAAAAAATTATTAATTTTAGCTGCATTTACAATCGATAGTACAATCTATACTCGAAACAGAGGACCTTTTCGACTTTGAGCGAAGAGAGGAACGTATTAGTTTTACAATGGTGTTTATTTTTTTCTACTGTGTACAAAATTTCTACCAGGAATCTTGTTCCGGTTTTCAAGTGTAGCGCTTTTTCTAGGAGGAAATTTGATTTATTTGGTTCTTTAGAGAAGTAAACTGTTTTGATTTTCCTAGCACATTGGCCATATCCCTGGACATTAAGTTATGTATTCGAGTCTCTACGAACTCGAATAGCTTGTGGCAGCCGGTTTTTTTTTTGGTCATTCCAAGAAGAAATTATTACCTAGTTTAATATCGAGTATTGACTCCGTAGGGGACATTAGGTTATGTTTTTTTTTTTTTTTTTTTTATAAGTGTATGGTAAATGTTTTTAGACATAGACTATTTTATATTGAGGACACTAAAATCTTCAAACAAATTTCAAGTTTGATATCTCCAATCATTTTTACTCGCGACTCTTACAAGTTACAATTGCATTTTAGCATTTTTAAAGCTTTTATAGTGCATAATATGCTCTCAGCATATTCATATTGATTCAGCATTTTAGTGCTACCGGTAATCACCTCTACAATTGATGATCGGAGGAAGATTTTCGGTAGTAAAGTCACCCGAGGCCGGCACCTACTACCGCGAAGTGTAGGCGGTTCATTTAACCCGCCTATAGTACGTCGTTGGAGCCACTGCAGTATTACTCGCTTCGCTCAGAATCTAAAATCTACGTTCTTAGATTCTACACAATAGTAAACACGAATAGCAGACGTATGTAATATCCCAAACACATTATTATTTCATATTAAACCGGTTTTTTCGATACGAAAAATTATACTTTTTTCCCTTCTTCCCCATAAATACGTTGTAAGTGTATCATCGAAAAATCCTCCCGGAATCGCAGATAATTGCGATGGAATTAAAACCCCGTGTCTTTATATACTTTAGTGTCGAAATATAACCGCTTTAGACGTGGCTGCCAAAATACACACGGAATGAAGCCTTGGGGCGAGGATGCAATTTTGCGACCCTCACCCTCCGATAACTTCTAGACGCGATGCCAGCCGTTCACCCTCTTTTTTGTAAAACATTTATACGGTATCGGTAATACCGGTATTTCAACGCATGAAAAATATTTCGAAACAACGAACTGTATAATAGAAAAAAAAAAAGATAAAAGAAACAACTCTATAGGCGTTGCGGTTTAAACTGTGCGGCGGGTACGATAATCCAATTGAATTTTACGAAACGTCATCTGCACGAAAATACCTATATACGACCGCAACGCACGCAATCGGTTCGACTCTCATTCAATAATTGAATTGAACGGGGTTTTTTTTTTTTTTTTTTACCGCCCAATCTGTTTTTTCGGTATACCCTATATTATTATAAACATATTGTTTACCCGCCGCCCCATCGGTACATAAAACGATGGGAATACTATACATATAGAGGTACGAAAAACAAATGTCGCAGTTACAACCAAACGATAAAAAAAAAAAAAATAATAAAAAAAATATCCTCTGTACCGACATACCGTCGCGGAACCAATTCACCTAGCCCCCGTGTACCACTGCTGGGGCCCTGACCTTTAGGGTCCGTGTGTCCCTTTTTGGGGACCTCGAGCGTGACGTACTTTCGTCGTGGATTTTCTCACCCCATAAATATACTACAATACTGTAGTATAGGTGCAGGTAGGTATGGGTACTATTCTTCGGCGGGAGACGATTTTTCGTTAACAATATCGTACATGACGTGTATAGGTAGGGGCGTTTTATCGGCTATATCTACACTGCAACGTGACGAGGGTTCGAACCCCCCCTGACGTTTAAACAACTCGAAAAAAATATCGTTATTTATCTCGTACGCGTATAGATGCCGTAATAAAAAAAAAAAATGAAAAAATATTGTTTTTTTAGACTGCACGCTCCGTGATAATGTACCTTAGACGCACAATAAACAGTCGCTGCGTAATCATTACACTTTATTTGTAGACTCGAGTCGCGGAACACGCCGTGTAAATCCGACGTCGCACCGGCCATCGCCGGCTTCGATTTTTCCGAGACCCGGAGAAAAGGACGAGAGGGGGGGGGCGTAGGGGGATGCTTCACCACGGGACGAACAGCCGTACTCAAAACCTAACCGAGACAGCGGGCCACCTCAAACCACTCGCGTACCGGACGTGGTAGATGCGGCTACCCCTACGCGAAAAGCGCTTTTAGGTTGGTCGTAATCTAATCCGCGTGACCCATTGCTGACGTAGTCTATTTAATCTCTGTCTACAAGACTACTATTTAATCTACAATCTATATTAATATAAATAATGTTTTCTGTTATTTGGTTCTTTCCATACAATTAAATAACAATACATATTTATACGAGAGTAGGCACTATGCGATTTAATTTCGGATAAAATAAAACGGGTAGCGCTGTCGTCGAATCTTCGACTTAGCTTCTGCGTGTACCTACATCCTTTTCCGCTCTACGGCCGCCAGAGGCGTACTGTTTTTATACCGGGGAGGGCAGTCAAAGTTGGTCCTTGGCCAATTTTTTAGAAAAAAAAAAAAAAAAGAAAGAAAAATCAATAATATTACGTTCGTCAAAAGTCGGAAACAGAGGAGGGAAAAAAAAAGAAATAGCTAAAATCGGTGACGGGTGTTCCGTCCATTGCAGGTGGAGTTATTTCATTTGTACGCACTGCTAATGAAATATTATTCTGAGCGAAGTTCGTTTACAGTTTTATACACAATTTGTAATGATGTAATTTTTACGATTTTTATTAAAATTTGACTTTAAAACGCTTTAAAAAAAAAAAAAAAAGACAAACTACTAATGCATTACGCTCAACTTTTTTTGACCACTAAATGTAAAACTCATATTGAACCTTGTGTTAAATTTCTGAAATAAGAGTTCTCTCATGTGAGAGCCAGTAAATCAGCTGTTAGAGGTGATTTATACTATACCGACATTACACGATAAAAAAAAAAAGTTTATAAAAATCAGCAGTTACTTTTCACTATCGTTGTTAGTAGGCAGGCAAGTAGCTTGTACGTTTTTCCAGTCGGTTCATAGGTTAGACTTATCGAGTCGGACATAAATTTTTTTTTACCGATCTCATTATATAGTTGCATCTACTCATCGCAGCTTCGATGACGCGCGTTTTAAATAGACATTGACAATTTTTTTGTACACCATTATTCGAGGGCGTTTGAAGTAGATAAGCGTTAATAAGCGTTTTTGCGTATCACGTACCCGGGCAAGTAATACAAATAACTAACTATATTGTACGTGCATCGTGGTTTATGTACATTGTACTTCAATATCAAATGATTTATCCCGAATACCGCCAGTCCGCAGATTTATCGTTATCAACACTTGCGGTTCTCGAAGGTGCGCAGTCCCTAAACGCGACACGTTAAATATAAATGCACCGTTTGGGTACAAGTTAATATAACTTTTGGACATACGTATACAAAAACAAAACATTAATACTTTGATATATTTTTATTTTTCTTGTTTGTTTTTTTTTTTTTTTTGTAGAGCCTGCTAGCGTTATCTGTTGGAGACGCCACAAGGAGGTCGGCTCTTTTTAGTCTCTCGGAAAAATATTTCAGTAATATTTAACAACGAAACTTGTCACGGCGTTTTTTTAAAATTATTATTTATGTTGACACGCGGTGTTTGTATTTTGCAACACTTTTATCCGGTTAATACAACGTAGACCATGCATGTTTCCATGTCGGTTATCCAAGTATTTGTATACATCTGTGAGGTACCTATAGTGGTTTTTTTAACCTTTTACGAATCGCGACCCTTATTTTTTTTTTTCATTTATGACGACCCCTTCAAAAATCATTCAACGTAACTTGTATAATACGATGTACAGTATACATATGATACTTATAGTAAAAGAGACCCCCCCGGTTGAAAACCACCGCTGCAGCCTACAGGTAAACCCGAAATCGTACAAAGGCGATTTGTTTAATATCGGTTTTCAAATGTTCAAAATCGTAAAAAAATTACGATTGGTGCGATTATACTTAGCCACCTTACCCAACCTTTCGATAGTGTGCGCGCGTCGCGTGGACAATCGATTATTCGTATTAAGTTTATCAGTAGGGAACGGATTTATATAATTATATGCGTTTTAAATCCACGAAAAAGCGCTTAAAAACGTCAAAAAAGCTAAAATAACTAATCACTCAACAGAATATTTAAAAAGATTTCCGTACACTACAAAAACGCTTATCGCAGTGATATTTTTTAAAATAAATTTGTACGCGATACAAAAAAAAAAAAAAATATACTCCCGTGTTAATCATTCGGCAGAATGAAAATTGTATCTAATATGGCAAGAATCGTTTAGAAGGGGTACGTTAAATCCTCTCTGTCACTTCACTTTTGCCGTTTTAAATACATATCGAGTGCATAGAAATCCGTTCTTTAAATACGAGAAGCCCGCACGTGTTCCGCGTACATTTCCTTCTCAAACAATAACGTTATAACGCGGGCAATACTTAATACGGCCGGCGGTTCGCTTTATAACAGCGGCACCACTCTTGTCCGCGGAAACCGAATTGTCGTCCGCGTCACCTAGGCAACCCGCGAATAGACCTAAATGAACAAACAATTATATTGCATTCGTACCGAAAACGGCCGAGAACCTAATTATCGCAATTTTCGTAGATAACTCGTAATCGCTTTGAAAACAGAATACGGGCCGCGTTACCCGCCGACAGTGTAACATTTTATTAGGCGGGAGAAGTTTCCGAATCGGCCGAGTAGTTTTCGAGCTTATCCGTCACAAGCGTACAGCGCAAACGAATCGTTTCGCTTTACACAACGTCACAAGTATACCTGTACACATACAGACAACATTATATTATTGTTGGGTATTTTTTTTTTTCCCCGGACATTTTTTTTTTCTTTTTTATTGTAAAAACATTAATTATAAATATTGTTACATAAAATCAAAATGTTTACAATAAAATATACGCTTATTCTTTAAGCGCGACGCTTGCGATGGGCGGCAGAGGGTTGCATTACATATCTAACAAGACAAACAAATACGCACACCAATAATGAATACAAATTAATTTAAATATAATAAATTAATAGCTTAGAACAGGACAAAGTGATATAAGACAATATTAATAACGGTACATTTGAGAACTCTTTAGACACCGTCCCGTTCTTTACATTTAAATATGATTTCCTTAAGTTATTAAATTATTTTATCGAAACTAAATACTAACCATAAGTTAATTTGTCATTTTTTATACAAGCAGCTAAAATTCTAATAGATTCACGAATTGAAGAGTATAATACGGGGTTTTTTTTTTTTTTTAAAAATACAATGGTATTGAATTGTAATGTACTCGTAATTATTAAAGTCCGGATTTGAATACACTAAAATGTCTCTCTAAAAAAAAAAAAAATGAAGCTAAACACTTATTTTACCTCGAAAATGCCCTAAAAAACTGTTTAATTCGCTATTTTATAGAGTAGTTTATAATATTCTATATTTAAAATTTGACTTGTGACCAGCGGTGACAGTATCGACTGCAGAGAGGCCGATTGACTGGAAAACCCGAAACACGCGGATAATATTTTGAATCGACTAAATTCAAATGACTACACTAGTATATCGCGATTAAGCGAAAAAAAAATAAATCTAAAAACGCAAAAAATGGGGGGGGGGGAAAGGCGAACCGAAAGTTTCACCTTTGAAGTGTCTACGAGACAACAAACGCGCGTCGAATTATGCACGCGGAATTGCGTTGTCAAACTGAATCTCTAAGAGTAAAAAAAAAAAAAGACGCATTTCGCGCATTGAAATCCGGGGGAGGGGAGGCTAATAATTCGCGGGCGAGAACCACGGCGTTCTCGGCGGGGACGCGAATCGAAGCCGTTTGCTTTCCCACCCACCCCCCACCTCCTTTCCGTTTCGGCCGGACGCTTTGTCGCCGTCATTAATGCGGCGGCGCCCGCGAAAATTCGTTACACGCCACACCGAAATATCGCGCGCGACAACAATGCGGCGCGCGCGTTGTCATTGCTGTTACACGGTCCGTTAGTACGGGCGGCTGCGGGCGGTCTCTTTTCGCGAATAATAATAATATCGTGTTGACGTTAATTTCTCCGCGGCGCGTCCGTTTCGCCGCCCCGTCGACGCGGCGCGGCGGGGCGTTAGGGGGCATGTATGGGGACCGGGCGGCGGCCGGGGAAAAAAAAAAAAAACAAAACACGTTATCATAACAATACGGTAAATACGCGGCGCGGCGACACCCCAATAGTAGCGCCGCCGAGCCGAACGCTAATGGCGTATTAAAACCCGGCGCGCGTGTGCCGCGCATTATCCGCGCCCGCCGCCCCCCCCGGCACAACACGATGGTGTACGCAGCGCGGACGACGGTTTTTATTATTGTTTCCCCCCTCCCCTCCACCGGACGGATCGCGGAACGCGCGCGCAGAGAGTGAGTGAAAACCCTGCCACCTCCCCACCCGAGCGGAAAACAATTACGCGCGAAAAGGGGTCGAACGGAGCGCGGCCCCTGCGCGGTTTTTCGGGTCCCGGTCTAATTGTATATATTATACGGGCGATGCGCCGACCGGCTTTTCGGCGTGTACACCAAACAACAACAACAAAAACGATACGCGCACGACGTACGTATATAACGGCGAAACCGCCCGCTTCCGACCCCTCGGGCGCGTTTATTATCGAAACGTTCGTGAAAAAAAAAAAAACAAATAAATACAATTTTCGGTTTTTTCTCTACTCCCCGCCACCGCGCAATGTGCGTGTGTGTACAACGACGTCCGCACCCCTGTAGCGCACCACCGCCGCCGCCTATTTTTTTTTTTTCGGTCGTCGATTTCGCACGCCCGGGAAAAATTCGGCGCGTCCGGCGGCCCGTCGGCGAGAGAGCGGGCCCCGCGCCGCCGCCGAAACACTCGACTTCCGGACGGTAAACACTCACTTCGGAAATCGTTTTCCTCCGCCGGACGGACATAAAAAAAAAAAAAAAACCAACAAACAAACAAACGGAAACCAACATCGCGCAAACGGAAAAACGCCGCGCCCCGGAGAAACAAACAACAACCGCCGCGGCCTTTGCGGCGGCCGAGGATTCATCACTGCGGCGTGTAACCGCGGGTAGTAGGTACGGGCACGGGGCTACACAGACGTGTGTTGTGCAGGTAAACAATGATAACCCGCAAGAAAATCAAACGAGCGTCCGTTTTCCACATGCATTACACCACGCCATTATATTATTGTTAATAATAATCGTTTTGAAAATATTAAAGAGTTCATGAAAAAAAAAAAAAAACAAAATAATAATAATAACAATAATAATAAAAATAATAATACAAATCAAATGTAATAATAATGAGAAGAACAGCGAGAGCCGAGAAAACAATACTTTTTGCGTTCGGGAGAAAAATAATGAGAGTATCGTATATATATATATATATATACTATTTTCAATATAGCAGTACTAGTAGTAAACATTGTTTAAGCCACAAAAAAAAAAGAAAAAAGAAAAGTAACATTAAATGAGAAAAAAAAAAAAAAAAAGTTAAAAGACGCGAATTTCGCGCGTCACAACACACGATAGACTGGATTCTTGTT